TATACAGAGCAGCATTAGACAAGAAAAGGAGCCAAACTAAGCCAAATATCACTTTGTGGCATGCGCCCTAGTAAGTGATAAAAGTGATACAATGATAATTTGCGCCAATGGGCATCAGATTTAGCAGAACAACGTAAGCGAAGTGACTTTTAAGTAACAAGACTCTTCGCAGTAAAAAAGACAGTAAAAAACATAAAAAATTAACGATAAAGCCGGAAATTGTCGCCAAATTAGAGTTACAACCATAAGATATGCTAGCAAGAATCTTGTTAATGTTTGTAAAAATCACATTTTGGACTTCAAAAATAAAAATTCCCATATGCGGTTGAAAATTTGGATAATACCCATTAGTACAGGATAAAGCTAGGCTTTCAACAAGTAACAACATTTTACTTTCAAATGCATGCTGACCTGGAAATACTGCCGAAATTCCGCATGAATTCCGAACGAAGCTCGAGAACACGTTCAAAACCCTCCAAAGCCTGAACTAAGTCCCGTATTTTTCGCTTATTGTAACGCATTGTCTCGAACATTTGTGCTCGGCTGTCCGGATGCTCTTCTGCTCGATATTTCAATCCGAACGTATGTATTCTGCAGAAATCATGATTATAAGAGCTTAAGATCATGATTTTTCTACAAAAAAATCACGTAAATTTTCGTGCAAGTAAGTGATTTTTATTACATCAAACGAAACTGACATTTTTAATAATAAGATAGAAAAAGCTCACTTCTGAACTAAACGTTCCAAATCAGGTACTTTTCTCAAGCACTCTGTGGCTCGCTGGATAAATTTCTTCGATCCGGCTTCCGAAAGCCATTGAATTGCATCTTGCCGGGAACAAAGGATATCACGATCACATACGGGAGCACAAACCCACTGCCTCAACAAACGCTTACCTGAAACAAATGCGATAATGAATGAAAACGTACCCCGAGCATTCGCGACAAAAACTGGAAACATACTTCCATCTCCTTTTCACGCACCACCCGACCCCTTCTCCTCTCCAAATGTACGTCACCTAGCCAACTGACAAAGGGTTTAGGCCATGTTTCTATTAAATCCACCTATACCAGCCTTCCTCTCCTGTTTTGAACGAAGTCCGCAGCACACTCCCCCCCCCCCCCCC